ACTGCTGGTAGTGGTACCAATATGGGTGTGATGGGGTGCTGGGACCAGTGCTGGTGCTGGTACCATGTGGGTGTGACAGACGTGCTGGTATCAGTATGGATGTGATGGGTGCTGATGGCATCAGAGGTGTGCCAGGCATGTGACTGGTACTGGCTGAGGCACCCTCATAGAACCAGTACCTGTGCTGTTGTGGCCTCAGTGGGGTCACCAGTACTCATAGTGGTGCTGTTCCTTGCATGGCAGGAGCACCATCATTGTTTCTCTTACTGTCACAGCCGTCAGCACATCATGGACACCAGTACCTACCTTACCAGTGCCAGAGGAGGGTTGGGAGTGGTACTGTTGTGTGTGTGCAGCTGGGGCACTGGCACCAGTATCACTGGGACCAATAGGGCATGGTACTGGTGCTGATGTGGATATGATCCTGGCACAGGTGCTGGTACTGCTTTGAGCACAACAGGGGCACTGGTGCCAGTTCTGACGAGTGGTGAAGAAGGAGTGCAGGCACAGCACAGCATCAGGACCAGTACAGGCACCACCTGCCCTGCACTGGGACCTGAGCAGTGCTGGTGCTGGTGGGAGAGCGGGCAAGGCCAGGGCACAGTGGCCACAGGGGTGCAGGGTGGTCCTGATGGCCCTGGCACAGCCCCAGTGCCAGCAGGCTCTGTCTCTTGCAGGGCTTTCTTCTGGCTGGTGTCGCTGCTGCTCTCGTCCCTCATCTGGTTTATTGCGGTGAAAGCCAGCGACCCGCGGGACGAGCGGCTGCAGAAGGGGCTCCTGATATTTGGGGTGATGTTCTCTGTGCTGCTGCAGGAGGCCTTCCGCTTCCTTTACTACAAGCTCCTCAGGTAATGGCGTCCCCCCTGCTGTGCCAGTGCTGCTGGATGGTGGTCCCGGCTATGGGGGTGTCACGTTTCGTCTGGGAGCTCCTGGGCTGGGGGGGATGTCACGTGTGACCTTGGTGCTCACTGGGAACGCATGGGTGGCACCTGTTACGGTGTGTTAACCTCAATGGGTCTCGGGTGGTGGAGCAGAGCAGCCCTATGGTCTGGAGGACCTGCTGCCCAGCCCAGCCCAGCACACGGTCTCGGTGCAGCCTTAGCAGCTCCCACCTCCATGGTGCCACTTGCTTGGAGTGCGGGGTTTGTGCTGCCGGGTGAGCACACGCTGCACCCTGTCCTGTGTGTGGACAGATGGACAGACACTGTGCTGGGGCTGTGCAGGCAGGCACGGGCAGGTATAGTGCTGGGGTTGGCATCATTCGTAATCCCCAGCTTTTCTGTGTGGAAGCTGGGAGCAGGCCAGGGGAGCCGGGGCCGCAGACTCGCAGTGCTCCCTGTGGCAGGGCACTGTCAGAGGCGGGCAGGCAGAGGGTAGCAGAGCTCCACGGAGCAGCCTCTGACACAAACCACTGCGTTTCGCTCGCCGATCCCCGGATCCAAGCTCTGCTGCCCTCCCTGGGCTGAGGAGCTGTCTGGTGTGCTCACCTGCCACACCTCTAGCTGATAAAAATTATGAAGCCTTTCCTCTTCCAGTATCTCTCCCCAGAGAATTTTTCCAGCTCCTTCCTTGTTTGTCAACATCTTTCTTAGAGTATAAATGCAGAGATCAGGTACAGCCTCCCTCGCCTGCAATGGAGCTGTTTTCCATGCGGGGGTGCTGCTGCTTGCCTTACACCCAATGTCCTGCTCACCCCAGCCCTAAACTGCTCGGCTGGCTGGCACCCACATTCCTCTGCGGAAAATCTTTCTCTGTGGCTTCATGTGGTTTTCACGTGTCTGATTTGCCTGGTGGTACAAGTCACACGGATGTTCTCCGTGGTGGGTGTTGCAGCTCGGAGTGGGGAGGTTATCAGGAGGATGACATAGTGCAGACTGAGTGCTGCACCATGCCTCAGGAGATGGCTGGGCTGTGTTGGGCTCCACTGTGCTCTCACCCCACAGGAAGGCCATCGAGGGGCTGGTGGCCCTCAGTGAGGACGGCTGCTCCCCCATTTCCATCCAGCAAATGGCATATGGTGAGTGCTGTGCAGAGTAGGGCACCCTGACCGCAGGGCTGGGCGTGGTGCTGGGAGCAAAGGGAGATTTCTCATGCCAGAGCTGGCAGGGACATGCCTGGGGTGGCCCCTGGGAGGCTCAGGGCTTGACAGTGTTCCTGTCCTGGCAGTGGCTGGCGTGGGCTTTGGTCTCATGAGCGGTGCCTTCTCCATGATCAACCTGCTGGCTGATGCGTTAGGGCCTGGCACTGTGGGCATCCATGGGGATTCGCAGCTGTACTTCCTGACCTCAGGTGAGTGACTGGCACCCTTTGTTCATGTTTCTGCCCCACTATAGAGGCAGCAGAGCCAGGGGGAATGGAGTTTTACCTTCATGCTGTCCTCTCCGTGCTACACCCTCACCCACCTGAGCCCCTGTCACATCTCTCTGTGCCAAACCCTTCTTTCTGTCCCCTGTGACCCTCCCTGCTCTTCTCTCCCATCTCTCCCCAAGTGTGGGAGAGATTCTCCAGCCCCTCCCAGTCCAGCCCATCAGTGTCTCTACTTCCCCATCCCTTTCCCAAGCCTGCAGGCCAGGTCAGGGTGGGTGATTCTCTTATGACGCCTCTCTGCTGCTCCCTGCAGCTTTTATGACCATGGTGCTGATTTTCCTTCACACCTTTTGGGGGATCCTCTTCTTCCATGGCTGTGAGCATCGGCGCTGGTGGGAGATCGCGGCGGTCGTTGTCATGCATCTCACTGTTTCGGGGTCGGTGAGTAACTGGGAACAGAGCTCTGCACCAGGACCTGTGTTTGGGGTACTGGTCCCTGTGCTGGAGGGAAACAGTCTTTGGCACTAGCAAAGCAGCTGGCCCTTCACAAACCAAATCCTGGAGTTGGTGTCCCCTGTCCCACTCCACTCGTTGAGTGGCGACACTGCCACACATCCTGTCCCTGTTCCTCTCCTGCCTGCTCACCCTTTGCTTCTCCTGCCTCTCTCCCCAGTCGTTTTGCAACCCCCTGTACGTGGGCAGCCTGGTGCCCTCCTACATTCTGATGGCTGCTGCCGCTGCCTGGGCTTACCTACTGTCGGGGGGATCTGCGCAGAACCTGCGGCGCTTCCTGCTCTGTAAGTCCTGCTCCATAAAGGGGACACCGTGGGTCCTGCTGGGTACCAGGACTCATGCTGGGATGGCAAGAGGTTGTCCCTGTGGCTGGAACAAGGACATCATCCCCTTGTCTCCCAGACAAGGAGGAGCAAATGGTTTTTGGAGCCAACGGTCAGATTGTTGCCTCTCCTGGGGGAAGTGGGGTAAAAGAGTTTGGTGAAAACTGACCCCTTCTCCTCTCGGTTCCTGCAGGTTTACGGAGCGGAGCCAGCCCCCAGCCAGGATCCTGAGGCCCTGCAGGATGTTCCTGTCCCCAGCCACCCCTGCCCTTCCCTCTCCTATCCTGGTGGCAGGATTGGCCATCACCTTCTCTGCAATATCTTTTCTCCTGGACTTGGGGACCCTGGCCAGCCCTGGTGGGGCAGGCGCTGGTGTCCGGCTGTGGCAGCCAACCTACCAACCAACCAATGTGGCTGGGACTCCAACGCCCCTTTGGGAGCCCCCGTAGAACAACTCAGTGTTGGGGGGCCCGACTCCACTGGCCCTGCCGTGAGCTCAGCCCCAGATAGCTTGCCTGTGAAGGATGCTACCTTGGACTGCTGGAGTCTTGAGCCCAGAGAAACCCATCACTTCTCCCCCCGCCGCCGCAGGTGTGGTGTCCCCCCGTGCGAGGGTGGGGCGCCCGCATTGCCTCCTCGCTGCAGGGTGGAGGAAGGGGCTTTGCAAAGTTCTGCCGTGCTCTGGCTCACGGCTGACCCTTGTGAGGCTCCTTTCTCCACCTCTTTGCCCAGTCTTGCTGCCACAGGAGCCACGGCCCAGGCGCTCACCTGTGGTAGTGCAGTGAGCTGGCACCTTGGTACTGCAGGATCATGTTGGGAAACCCAGGGGTACTGAGAGCTTGCAGGGTGGGAGAAGAACGGGGGAGAAGGCAGTATCCAAAGGGCCCAGTGGACATGGAGGGTGGTGGAGGGATTGGGAGGAGATGCAATGCCACAGCTGTTGCCGGCACAGATTTGGGAGAGGGTTCAAGGGACCATTCCAATGGATCATTGCCCTCTCCTGTTCTTGGGGATTTTCAGGCGGGTACCAGCCCTGATTCTGTGCCACAGGGCTGGGAGGGAGAAACTGCCATCAGGCTGAGAAGGCAGTTTTATCCATAGTGGGCTTTTATACCAATAAAATTAAGTACCACAGAGAAGTGGGTGCTGTGTGTGGCCATCGGCACTGCCCCTGTGGGGAGGGTATGAGCAGTGGTGGCAGTGTCTTGTGCTGGTGTGACTTGGGGAGCATGGTCTGGCAGTTGCAGGCCCCCCTTGCTCCTGCTTTGTTCATCTTAGCAGGGGTTAGGCTCTAGTTCTACAACTTTGAGGTGGAGGCTGCTGAGGGCTGGAGTCTACAGGTTCCTCTCCTCTCCCGGGTCTGGATAACTGGTTGTAAAGCTCCCAGGGGTTTGGCTCCAGTTCCACTGGAGGCACCATGGAAGGTGGGAGGTAGCCCTGGATCTAGGACTACTCTGGCTAATCTAGCTCTGATAGAGCTGTAAGTGATCTGGGTGGGGACTGGTCAGCAAGCAAGCGGTGCAGCCGCTGCCACCTGCAGCTCTGCCTTTCTCCAGCCCTACCAAGCTGTAGCTGTGTTTTTCCAATGCTTTGCACAAATAAGAGGAGGAAGAAGTCCCAGAGTGATGGAGGGCAGGGCTGGGCTGTACAAGAAGCCTTGTGCTGCTTACTCTGGAGCTCTGCCCAGTGCACAGGGGCTGATGCTGTCACTGCTGGTTGGGAAGGGGTCCCTGCATACCCTTCTCCAGTATGGATCCAGCTGCACCAGGGTGCTCTTTCCTGCCCCACAGCTTCTCACAAGAACAGCAGAGAGGTCTGGTACCATGGGTGGCTTTTACTTTGTGGGTTTTTTATTATTTTTTTTAATAGTTTTTACCTTTTTTATAACAAAAATATCTGTTGGGGTCAAATGCTGCCCCAGGCAAACAGTCTGTGTGGGCAGCCTGTGCAGCCAAGGGATGCTGGAGCACTGGCTCATCCTTGGCCCGGGGTGGGAGTGAGGGGAGGTGGGGTGGCAGCTGAACCGGTGGGGCTGGGACTACCACAGAGGAGTGGACTTTATGCAGTGTTCTCAGTGCTGGCTGCTGTGTAGATGACTTTGGATTTGGTTGGCGAGTCCAGCCTGGTGGGGGAAGAAAGAGGGGGAGAATGTTAGACCAGGCAGAAGGTCTTGCTGCCTGAGACCACCCTTAAGCCCTCTTCTCACGCCGTGGACCCAGGCCCCCTCCTGCATGTCCCCGTGGCTCACCGTGCATTCTGGCTGCGGTGCTTGTAGATATACAGCAGGAAGGCCAGTGCTGTGACAGCAAAGAGCACCCCGAAGAGCACGGCCAGCACGTCCCCTATGAGCCAAGCAGAGCTGTGTTACACTGGGGATGGTCCCCTGCAGCTACTGGCTGAGTGAGACAGGCAGGGAGCAGGCTGATGGCCCAAAGGCAGAGAGGGCGCAAAGGAGCAGCCTTGACTCAGCACACCTACCTGCATGAAATGAGCTGGAGTGTCCTGCAAAGGAGACAAGACCAGAGGGTGAGAACCAGTGGCACAGATGTCTTGCAAACCCACTGTGGCTGTTTGCCCCCCCAGTGCAGAACATGGCTTCCAGGATACCAGTTCCCAGGCAGGTACACTGCCCGTCCACCTTCTCCTCCCTTGCACCAGCCCCTCACCTACCTGCTGTTGCTGCTGAACCGTCACTACCTGTAAGAGAGACAGTGCAGTCAGGAGGTGTTCCCCAGGTGTTCAGGGAGGGAAGTGTCAAGCCTGCAGGGCTGCCTGCAAGACTCCCCATCACCCATGAGCAGGCTGGGGAGAGCTGCCTGCAGCATCCCCAGCAGCTTGCAGCATCTTGCTGCAGGAATCCCAGCCCTGACACTCTGGCACAGAAGCATCAAGGGAAGGGTAGAAAAAAGGATCCCTGAACCACAGCCCACACAGAAGCCTCGCTGAGCACAGCGAGAAACCTCCCCCCACCATTGCTGTTGCCACCATCTAGGAAACACAGGCAGGGTGCTGAGCACTAGAGCACCCTATGACTGTAACAAACCCCACAGGAGACCCTGGAGAGGTACATGGATTGAGCCCAGCAGACAGTGACCATGGGGACAATTGCCTGTGTCTGGATGGTCAGTGGCTCCTGGGAGGAGGCAGCCGTCCATTCCGGGCAGGGCACCTGGCATGGGGATGGTTTAGTGGCTCTACATGCTAGGAGGGAGCTGTGCTGGGCAAATATTTACCCAGCGTAAGAGCACAGCTTTTAAAGAGCTGCACTATCATCTGTACACGGCTTGGGTATCGCGCGCAGAGTGGCACTATCTGCAGGCTGTATCCAACTGCGGGAGAGCCACCACCTTCACCCAGCTCCCAGGGGCAGGAGTGGTTATCCTGAACTGGGAGTGACAACAAGCGTGGGCGCAGAAGGTTCAGCTGCAAGCAAAATGAGACTTGACCCCCCAGCACGCCACCTCAGCGCTCACTGGCCCCAGGGGTAAAGCAGGCAGTTATCACGGATGTGGGGAGAAATCCCCAGCAAACCTGTGCACTCAAGGCAGGGGATCAGTGACCTCATCCAGGAGTACTGGGACATTGTCTTGGTAGTTCAGGAACAAGGGCTTTGTGACTTTGTTGTAATGGGGATTTTTGGACAGGAATAGCAAATAAGGAAAAGAAAAGAAAAAATAAAAAGGTAGAGCTGGGCAACTCCCCCCTTGCCCCAGCGTGGGCAGACGGAGGCTTTGGAACAGTTTCTGCAAGAAAGTGGTAAAAGAAAGGCTTGGAGGTAAATGGAAAATATGATAAAGTATCTAACAGGTTTACCAAAGATAGAGCATGCCAGCCTAACCCGATATCCTTCTTTGATAAGCGATATTCTAGACAAAGAAAATGCGGTAGATTTTATCTCTCCTGGCTTCAGTGAAGCATTTGATGCAGTGCCACATGGGAAACTGCTAGCCAGGCTGAAGACCACAGTGATTAAAAGCCTACAGCCATTAGCAAGCTGGCTGCAGGTAGAATGGTGAGGGAAGTGCCTTGCACTTGTGGTTACTGAGGTCTGGGACAAAGCCTGTGTGCTGTTCCTATTAGTCAGCTTGATACAAGGTGCAGGAAATGCCATCAAAACAGAAAAGAACAGGATGTCAAACAGAAAAACCCCTGTGACCTCAGGGAGTAGCAACAGGCAAAAATTCATCGATGCAGTGCGATAGTCACACCTGAGCATTAACAGTCATTTCTACTCATTCCTGGAAACCACCAACGCCAGGAAAGCCTTCAAGGACAAACTGAGGACAGGCAGACAGGGCTGCGTCAGGCAGGGGACTGTGCTCCTGGTCAGGATGTCTGTGTGGCCCCACCGTCAGATTGCAGCCCTCAGGAGGGGTGCCCAGCACTGCCCTTCTTGCAGGGTTTGGATGAGGGGTGCTTGCTGCAAGTCTGTACCACTGGCAGCTCCTACTGAATTTATCTGTTCCATTTGGGACTGAAGGAGCTAGCTAGGATGCTGGGACCTCGCTGTCTGCTCTTGAACATATATCCCGTAGTCCTCCTATTGTTATGTCTGCAAGACTAAGGATAAAATAAGTTCCTAGGAACAATCTTTCCCAGGTAGGGTGAAAGAAGTGCAGGAACTGGGGAGAGACACAAAGCACTGACTCCTGCTCCTCGCCCCATCTCTGCGCCCCTGCAGCTGGGCACAGCCTGAGCACACTCACACGCTCCTTACCAGGAGTGTGCTTCTCTGAAGGCAGGGTGGTCTGGAAACTCGCCAGCACCCGTCGCCCGTGCAGGTCCTGCACTGGCCGGTAATTGTTCTGCAGGAGATCGCTGTCGTCGGTTCTCAGGCTCCTCACCAGCACTGACATCTGGAAGGAGAACAGTGTGAGCAGAGCAGCATCCATCCCCCCTTTGGGAGCCAGATGGGGTGCAGGGCACCGGCACAGATGGTGCACTCTTGTAGGGAGAGGCTGGGCAAGTCCTAGTGTGCCTGACATTTGTAAGACCACCCATTGCCTGACAGACCTGGTCACGAGAGAGCTTCATGGTCTGGTTGAAGATTGTCCACTTCACCGTCTGGTAGCAGGGAGGGGTGGTCAGAGAGCCGTTGTAGTGGAAGTAGAGTTTCAGGTTGTCAGGCAGCAAACCTGCAATGTTGAATCCGGGCACCAAGACTTGCTGCCCTGGGAGAAGAAAAATACCATGGGAGTGTCCTGCAATTCCTTGGTGGGCAACAGCATGCAGATCATGGGCAGCCTGGCACTGTGTGTGCCACTGCAGCCACTGGAGAAAGAGCAGTGCGTTTGCCCTGCAGGCATGTGGGAACAGAGGGCACCTTGGAGCGCTGCTTCCATAGGAGTGGTGCAATGCTCCCCTTCTCACGTACACACGGCAAATGCCTGCTGCAGCCTCCCTCTGCCAGGCAGTGGGTTTCTCTGTGGGGTGGCAGCCCCTGAGACAAGCACTACATGGGGTAGGACCTTACCTACTCCTTCGATTTCGTACAGATGCTCAAGTATCTCCTGATAGTACGGGTTCTCACTTGGCCCAACCTGCAACACAGAGACCCCACAGTTATGGCAAGGACAGGGGCTGAAGGGTGATGGCAGTGCCAGCAAGGAGGTATCACTCCCTGTGAGATGCACTCTATCTCCATGACCCCTTCTTTCTATCAGCACTGCTCTGCCCTCTCTCTCCCCTTCTTCCAAGATGCATTTGCATCTTTGACAGTCCCCAAAACTGTGCCCAGCTCTGCCCACCCCAGCCCCACCCTCTATGGAACTCACCTCCAGAAAGGCTCCGAGTACAGCTAGGCCATCTGGGTGAACCATTGCCTCATTAAAGCTGCCATACTTGGTGTTGTAGTGGACCACATGGATCTGGAAGGGAAACATGCAATCCCAATGCAGCGTGGGCACTGATGGGAAATGCTCACCCCCACAGGGCTCCAGCCTTCTGAAGCAAGGGCTGGGAGAGACATGCACATGTGACAAGCACCCCTCCTGGGAAGGGAAAATGCTGGTGAGACCAAGAAAATGTGCTGCTGCAAAGCAGCCAGCAAGAAGGTCTGCCTGCAGGAACTTCCCCAGCCAGGGACAGCAATGTCCTGCATACCAGGGGCTCATACTGCAGAGCCAGGCTCAGTTCGAGGACAGCAGCTAGAGAAGGAGGGATAAAACCAGATGGGAGCTGGCAGAGCAAGAGGACAGTGTGTACAGAGTAAACAGTCCCTGCAGCTCCCAAAGCAGGCTGCTCACAGCCTCCAGGGGAGCTGGCTTCCCCAGCTGGGGACCGCCACAGCTCCTGCTCCATGAGCCCAGCACCAGGCTTCAGCGTGAGTCTGGCCCAGCACCAGAGCGTGGCCTCCTACACTGAACTCCATCGCTGCAGGGCTGCCTGGGATCCTGCCCAGGGGTTACAGCCTCCATCCAGTGACAACCACAGCCACGGGCATGGAGCATGACAGCAATCCAGGGCCTTCCCTGCCCAGCACCGTGAGGGAAGGGACTCATGCACCACCATGAGGGCTCCTCACCTCCGCACCAAAGCGTCGCCCATCGACGGTGTGCTCGGAGCCAAGTGACAACGGGGATCCCCAGTGCAGGTGCAGCTGCACAGCTCGGTACTGCTGGGCATAGCCACCACTGATGGCCAGCGACTCGGGTAGCTCCAGGACAACTGCACAGGCAGAAGGAAGAGGTCAGTCAGTAAAACACAAAGCCGAGTCCACCCCACAGGGACGTAGAGGAAACGCCTCAAGGTAAACAGTCACCCTGAGCTTGTGGAAATTGATCATAACGAGAAAACTTGCTTTCCATCTTTCACGGAGCTACAGGCAGGCCTGCCAACGTAGCAGGGTTCAGCTTTTGACTTCAGATTGTAGGACACTGCAGTAAATACGTCAGCTTCAAAAACAGCTGCTGTGAAAATGTTGGAAAGTGAAGAGCTCCTCTGCAAAGACTCCCAGGGCCAGCTCCAAGCCAAATGTTATCCAACAATTTATTCAGTAAGTGAGAATAATATGAAGAGACCATGGACAAAATTCATGGAGAAAGATATTGGCAGAGTGGTGAATACCTACGAGAGCAGGGCAGCTGGACAGAGAGCTGTGGTGCTTGGCAAGCTGAGACCTTTCAAATAAGGTAGTCTGCGTCTGACACCGCTGGAACTGGTGGCATGGAAGCGCTAAATATTTTGGAAACAGAGCTAAAATTTTTGCCTCTTTGGATACTGTAAATTCATGTTTTGTTTTGCCTTTTCTTCAGTGTGGTTTATCCAGCTATTTTGGACTCATGTTTCAGCATGGCAAATCTAAAGCTAAGTTAGCTGGATGTGAGGCAAAAATATCAGAAACATCCCTGGACCCTGTGAAAGGCTGTTTTATCCTTCTAAGCATGTTTTCCTCATTTTCAATGTCAGTTCTTTTCCTTTCTCCTTTATAGGTGAAGTACCCCTTAGTCACATCACCAAGCTAGGGCACAGATTCAGGATTAACCATGTAACAGGGCTGTGATGACTCATTTGCCATCTCGAGTTCCCTGCCACTGGGTTCAGAGATAGAAAACTCAAACATGGGAAGTGGGAGACTGCTCCCTCCCTGTGAATTTATCTGCTTTTACATTTCTTTTGTATGGTTGCATCATTGCATTCCTTCTTCTAGCTACCTGAGTCATTTTCATGCCCTTTAAAAGGCTTATACAGCATATACACTTTATGTTAACAAAATGAGTAATTGTTCAAATATCTTACTGGCCTTGCAACTTTTTATGTATTTATGGCTTTTCATAAAGCAGGCCAGTCATTACCACAATAAGTAAAGGCATTTTATAAGCACAGGAGAAAGTACTGCCCCCCTCCCCAGTGAAAATGCTCTGACTGCTTTTCTAAACACAAGCAACACCAAATGCCAGGGTGTCTAAAATAGCAACTACTGAGCTCAACGAGTTTAACTCCACTGGCACGTTAGAGCAGGAGGCCACAGTAAGAGCTCTGTGCATGCACCACGCAGCTGATCGGACCATGCACAGCGAGTCTGACCTGTCAAGTTCAGCCTGACAAGTTCAGGTCAGCTCCATCTCACTTGCTACCAGGGCAAGGAGGTGCCTTATCTCACCATCAGCAAGTTCCTAAGTCCCTTTCTCCACAACCTTTTCTTAGCTTTAGGGACTGGCAGACACCAGCATGCACAGAACACTCTGCCTGCTCCCAGAAAAAGCTGGTAGCAACCAGGTCTAACCATCCCCAGCTGTGGGGAGATCAATGGAAAGATGTGGTTTCCCTCCATATCTAGCATAATGTGGCTGATACTAAAGTAACATAAGTTGTGTCCAGGCTTTCTAAAAACTGTTCTAAAACTGCAGAAAGGAAATAAAAGATGGATAAAAACTTCTAAAGGTCTTGAGATAGCATCCTTAAGCACAGACTTGAAGAAGTTTCTCAAAGTTGAGTCCTAAGAGACAGGTAAAGGTAACTTAAAGGCTAAGTCACATCCGGAGACTGATGAGTCCTTTGAAATTGAAATGCAGGGCAGGAACCAGTGGCTGCAAACCTGTGTCAGAAATACCAGGGACACATTTTTAAAGGAAATGTGGAGTTTAACAAATTTCTAGAGCTAGTTCCCAAAGGCTAGCTCCTGGACATCTCCAGGTTTGTCCCCTCATCCAGGAAAGGCTCAGTGCTTCCCTCGTGGCTTTGAAGGCAACATGACTGCAGCCTGCAAGACTATCTTCTTCCCAGAGCCCAGGGGAAGGGCAACAGAGAAGCCTGGTCCTGCTGGGAGAGTCTGGGCAGCCTCTGCTTGTGTTTCTGCTTGTGCCCCTGCCTTTTCACCCACCTGTGTGCCCATTGTTCTTCAGCATGAGCTTCTCGTTGGCGGGCAGGCTGTATCCAGAGAGCTGGATGGGCCGCAGGTCAGGGCTGAAGATGGTCCGAGCTGTGTCAACGTTGATGGGTGACTGCTTGGTGCCCCCACAGTCTGGGTAATCTGAACCCCAGTGCTCCCGGTCTGGTGCAAGAGGGAAGGGAGGGAATGTCAGTGAGATCGCCTGTGTAAGGAGACCACCAGAAAGAAGGTTTGGGGGGTGGTGGGGAAGGGGACAGTCACTGGCCAGGGGATTATCCATGCATGAAAGTTTAGCTTCCATGAAGTTAGCCTGGGACCAGATCCGTGCTACCATGTGACTGCACGCAGCTGTATCAGGAAAGGTCTTGGAGCATGGTGAGCTGCCAGGAAAGTCTATTTTAGGGGTGTTTAGGAAGAACGCACGAAGATCATTTACAAGTGGACTTGGCAAGCTGTGGAGCTGGTGCCCTGCAGCTCATCACACACTTGCTGTCTTGCACAGCCTGGCCTCTGGCAGGAATCACCCACCCTGCACTTGAGCAAGGCACACTGTGCTGCTGGGCTCCGTGGCAAAGGGTCAGCTCACGTGGCTGGGGTGGCTGACAAACAGCCACCTCTCCCTGGTGCCATAGCTGGCATAAGCACGGCTGATGCCCAGAAAAACCCCTTTGCACTGCAGAGGGCTGCTGCTAGTGTACCATGGGCCAAAGCACACCCAGGCTTGTCCCCAGGCCAGGCACTTGCAGGGCTCCCTGCAAAGATGGAGCTGGGCATTAGCAGGTCCAAGACAAACCCCAGTGTGGTGGTGCAGAAATAAGGGGTGCATTTGTGATAGCACTGTGGTGATGCCCACCATGGGTGCTGTGGAGAAGACCCCCAAGCCATGCTGGGAAGGAAGGGGCAGGCAGGATGGGGAGGCAGGGTGACAGAGGACAGCAGTGAAGGCAAACTAATCCCTGGGCAGGTCAAAGTCCCAGCAGGGACTGCAAGTCCAGCCTGGAGAGCACAGCCTGTTTCCCTGCTTGGCACAGGATCAGGGGAGCTCCCATGCAGGGAAGAGCCCTGCCCCGAGGGGCATCCCTCCACACCCAAGGGGCTGGGGAAACCCTCCTTGGAGCTGCTGCTTCCTGTTGAAATCACAGCAACCCCTGGCTCTTCAGCCCATCCATGCCTGGGTTCGGGCACCGTGTCAGGGTCAGCTAGGAGTGAAGGGTGAGTCGTGGAGTCCTCTAATCATTAACCATGGCTGGCTCAGGCCCAGGATCTGCCGGGTGGTAAGAAAAAAGCAGGAGTAACTGTAGGGTATTTACCTTCATAGCTCCAGTGACTGTGGCCTTGAAAAAAAAGAAAAGAAAAAACCACATGAATGGAAGGGAAAGGTTGTCAGCAAACACAGCTCTGCCAGGCAGCGCTCCCAGCCACAGCAGCAGGTCGTTGGGATCCCACTGCCTTCAGTACTTCTCCCTGCCTTCTCTTTCCCACTCCTTCCTCTACCCTGGCAAAGGGGATGCTCCCAAAGGGTACTGCCTTGTCAGGGCAGGGCCAGGTCCCCCACAGTTGTCAGTCAGAGGGGAAACCCCAGGGTTTGGCATTTTGTCATCATCCTTATAAAGGAAAAATCAGCAATACTGGCTTCCGTCACTAAGCAGCTGTACCAACGCCCTGGCAGCTACTCTGGAGCAGCCAAAACCTCCCATTGTCCCCAGACAAAGCATTTCACAAGTGCAGGTCCCACATCACGAGGAGTTTGGGCAGCAAGATGCACTGCACCATGCAGACACTCTCCTCCCACTGGGGAAAGAAGCCCCGGGATTCACAGCAGAGGAAAAAATGAGCACCAAAACCTTGTCCTTACATCAGTGAGTGCTTCTACCATGGGTACAAAGTGCCACAAGGAAATGTCCCGGGCCAAATGCTCAGCTCCTGTCACAGCAACCCTCTCCTGTAACTCACTCAACCGCCCAAATGCCCACACAGAGCTGCAGAAGGGTCAGAGCTGCAGAAGGGTCCTACCATGCAAAACCTTTCCCTTGGAAAAGGAGGAGGGAGGATGGGAGGAGTCTGTGCCAAGACCTCCACATGTCCTGTGTCACCCATGGGGCACACAGTGGCCACAGCAGGGCAGGACGTGCCCCGAGCTTCCCACCTGGTGATGTGCCTGCCATGCACAGATCTAGAGGTGGCAAAGTTCTCCTGGGCAGGTCCTGAGGGTACAACAATACCCAACAGGCTGGCCCTTGCACCATCACTTTCCTGCAGAGCTGCCAGCAAAGCTGGATTCCCAGCGCGTCACTGGAGCTGGCCTTAGAAGTGCACAACAGCCTTTGCTCAGATGCCCTGACCAAACATCTTGGCTATCACCAGCCCTTTTAGGCAAACAGCTCCAGGCAAAGGGATGTGGGGCTCCCTACTAACAGGGAAACATGGCCCAAAAAGATTATGCACCTGCTCTGACTGGCACAACAGGTAATTCATGGGCTCTTCCTCCGACTTGTCCTTACCAGCACGCTCCTCACTGCAGGCAGGCTGTTGGCACATCCCAGCCCACAAGGGCAGGAGCAGAGGGTGTTGGGCTGGGACAGGTCTGGGGCAAAGGGGGGCATTCATACAGCAGCAAGGCATGGAGGAGCATTTAACAGGTACAGTCCAGCACCTCTGTCCCTTGGTGGGGTCAGCTGCCTGCCAGGCTGACTGGGACACAGGAGGGGCTCAGCAGGCACCGGTTTGGTTCCCATCCCTGCCGCTGACAACAGCTATCGACAGCCACTTGCTATTAATAGGAGTGGATTCCAGCTCAGGGGTGAGAAAGGAAGAGATAAGTTTTCCCAGGCCCAGATGTCCATGCAAGGCCCCAAGCCCAGCAGGACCCTGCCCTCCTCACAGCAAGGATCCAGGCATGGGTACTCCTGGGGGTGTTTGGTGCATCTGCTGGAAAGTGATGGCCACAGCCAAACTGGGCTGGAAAGTTCTGGAGGTTGTTTAGGGGCAGGGATGGGAACAGATCTTGAGGCTTCCTCCAGCTTCACTGGTGACTCACCTCTGCAGCATTTCTGACTCTTAGGAATCACTTGCCCAGGCACTGGTATTCCCAAAGGCATAGGAAGAAGGAGCAGCAAGAAGACGTTTGGGCAAGCCACAGCTGCCTGCACCAGGCAGAAACCCAGGACAGGCTACAGTGTCCTCTCCATGCCTCCCTGTCATGCCGCTGCCCTGGGACCCAGTTATGCTACAGCAAGCTGAGATCCATTCATCCTGCCCTCCTTCCTCACGCAAAAAGTAACCTGCTCCATAGACACCGATTATGCACCAAAATCCAGAGAAAAGGGACCCTCCTCTGGAAACACCCTGTACCTTCTTCTACCCTGTGCCTACTCTCATGCCCCTTCTGGCACTACCTGCACAAAGTGGACATGGTTTGCACACAAGAGCCATGCTTGCTGATTCCTAGGCAGGATTCCCCTCCTGCAGCACAAGGGTGTCTATCAGCATGGGGAGTCACCCCAAGGAGCACTCACACTGGGACAGTCCTGGCACAGGTAAGGCCCAGCACTCCAGGGCTGGCACATGGCTCACTGCACGTGCCTCAACTGGCACAGCCTGCCCCTACACCCCACTTTCTGCTCGCCTCCGGGGACTCTGCCTTGGACAGAAAGCAGCTCGAACATCCTATCATAGATTGAGCAATAGCACCGTGCTTACACCTGCCCTGCTGTGTCAGCACTGTGCCACCCACCCCAGGTTCCCACATTCCCCAGCACCCGCCTGTTCCCACAGCCATGGGGGATCCAGACCCTCCTCACAGCCTCCCACCAGCTCCGTTCAGCAGTTTTAAACACCCCAAAGGCTGCAGCTGCACCCAGGAGTCAGTTCAATCCATCCCAACGCAATAGACTTTCCCAGGGGTGTCATGGCATCAAAACCAAAAGGACCTACAAGTCCTTATCCTGAAACTACCGGAGTGTGTTTCCCCATTCCATGGGATCTGAGTGCAGTGATGGTGAAGCCAGGCCACTCCCTCAGGGAGGCATCTCTCAAGCCCAGCTGTGCAGCGTTGGGTCCCCTTGGCACGCTTACAGAGTGCTGCAGGACTGCACCAAGACAAGCCCAATCCCGGAACCAGGTCAGGCTTTCAGCATCTGCCCCAGCCCTGGCACAGCTCAGAGGAGCCCTGCACTACTCCAATCCCTTCCACGTGGGGGCATTTGCAATCTCACAGCCTTTTGCCATGAACATTAACCCACTGCCCTACCCAAGTGCTGATTTGCATGATTTCATCTGACTCCCACACTCCCCGCCGGAGCACGTCTTCTCCCTCGAAAAACTGCATGGTGCCAGGTCTCCTTTCTACTGAACTGCTGCCACTCACCACAACAGACGTGGCTGCACCTCGGCAGAGGGTCTTTGCATGCCCAGCCCTATCTCTGAGCACCCACAGCCCCGGCAGGGACTGCAAAGCTCTCCCAAAAAAAGGGGGGAAACAACTTTGGTGATGTGATATGCACACTGGGAGATAACATGCAAGAGGAGGACTGCTTGCAGAGGTCCCAGCAGGAAAACACAGGAGCTGCCTTCCCTTGCAGGCAAGAACACCTCCATGCTCAGCCCCTCCAGTTCACCTATTAACCACCGCCCCCTTTCCCCAGCAGCCCGCGATCCAGCCAAGTTTCCCACGAGTTTCCCCCCTTCACTCCCTCCCTTTGTGCTTTCTCCTGCTGTTGCTTGCTCCCACTCGAGCCCTCCCATTCTGGGATACAGGCAGTGCTGCAAGTGCCAGCTCCCTTCCCTCCTTGACATCCAACACCGTCCAACAACACTTTCCTGCCGAGTTCAGGCAGACGCTGCCATTACCAGCGTGCTGCTCCGCATGTCCTGCAGCCCGGGAGGAGGGGTAGGAGAAGCTTTTGGCGGGGTGAGGAGCCAGCACAACCACTGACTGCAACAAATCCCACATGGGAAAGGCACCAGTGCAGCAAGCAGATCTCACCAGAGGCACACAGGGAAGGACTGTGCACCTGAAGGACTCAGGATCGTTTGCACAGACCCAGAGGGAACTGTTGGCAGAGCCAAACAATAAGGAAGGAGACCAGAGGGTTTGCCCTATACTTCTGCACTCCCCATCCTCAGTCTTTCACATTTTAGCGGATACACAGCTTGAGGCTGCTGCAGGGCGCCTGATAACACTGAAATGAACACGTGTGCTGTTCACAGCGTGGATGCTGCATGAGAGCAACGCAGCCACTGGTGCTGCCTGCTCGCCTTGAACTCTAGAATTCCGATGGCTTGTGTGAGGCAGGCAGGGCAGCGGGCTCACTTCTACCTCTCTTATCGGCTGTGCTCAGCCACAGGGCGCACGGGAATCCTGCCAGAGCTTCCTCTCCCCTTTGACCCAACCCTCAGCCATACCTGGGGCAAAGCCCTACGGGATGAGTTCAGTTTGCAGATGCCAGGTCAGGACCACCTCACTATGCCCTGTCTACAGATCAGTCCCAGGCTGTGAAGGGACCAGTGTAGCTCACGGTCCAGAAAAAGAGGGTAAGGTTATTCCTGATGTTCAGTAAGGTGAGAGGTATGAGGACACAAAGAGATACACAGAGCACAGGTCCCAAAGTAGGGTCCAGCCACAGCATCCATGTCCCAGCCTACAAAACACATCCAAGCACCATGTCCCTTGAAAGCAATAACCTGACCAGGGTACCTGGGCTGTGCCACTGTGTTCTTGCTGCCCGCAACCAGCTCTCCAGATCAGCCTGGGGCAAGCATGGCACAGGTATGGTCTGGTCTGGGCAGGGTCTCGGCAGGGTGGGCGCATAACTTGAACACCCTTCTGCCAAGCCCCACAAGAAGTCTCTTTGTGGGAGGGCTGTGCCATCCCAGCCCTATGTCTGCCCTGGTTTCTCCATCCAGACACACACCCCATGCAGCACCCATATCCTTCCAGGACACCACCCCATGTGCTGCCCATGGGGACACTGATCCCTCCCAAGCCTGCCTGCACTAAAGCCCCTTTGTGTTTATAAACTCTGACCCACTGCAAGCCTTTGGGATCAGCCTTTAATCTGCCACTGGTAGCACAGGTCGCCACAGGGATTGTTCTTTGTTCTGCTGGGGGAGGTCTGCTGGGGTTGTGGGGCCCAGGACTACGCCAGCTCGCCCCGAGAGGGGCAAGGGTTTGTGTGGAGGAAGGCATAGGGCAGGCTTTACTCCAGGGCATGTTCCTGCTCACTCTGAACCCAGCTGCCCCAGCAAGTGCTGGGGGAAAGAGGAAACAATTACAGAGTGCTGCAGAGAAAGGGCCATTCCAACAAAAGGGATAAACATGGGGAAATCCCAGAGGACAGATCAGTGCTTGGAACTGGGGAAAGACATGAATAAGGAGTGTTAAGCAAGAAAAATGGGCTCAGATGGATGAAAAGGAACAAACAAGAAGTATCATATCAGAGAATGAGCAAGAAGAGGACACAAAGCAAGACACATCTAAATAGGAGGGAGAGGAAAGAGGTTGCAGTCAGAAAGGTAGTTACAGTTTCCAAAAGACACACGGAACACGGGACTCAGGTCTCTGGGCAAACCAGAGGCTCCTCAGGAAGCAACCTCATAGCAAAGCTTCAGTGCCAACCCCCAGACATGTGCTGAGTGCCCAGGGCTGGGGGACATCAGCCCTACCTCATGCACAAGCCTCAAGAAAGTGAGAACCAGCTCATCGCCCGGCAGAGGTGCCGAAACACTGGCACCTGGCAGGAGCCTTGGAGGGTTCCAGCCACAACCTGCTTCTGGGCTCCATCCAGACCTTCAGCCTCTAACACTGCACAGGCCAAGCTGTCTGTTCTTACCTACCTCCATGCCGCAGCCTTTCCCCATATCTATCCCAACCAAAGTGTTCCCAGCCACAGATCCCAAACCCCATGCGATGTCCAGCAGCTTGCTGCCAGCACAGCACACCAGTATGCTGAACACAAACACACTCCCACCCTGTGGCCGGGGTTACTTCATGTCTGTGGCAGGGACCATCTGCATCCCCATCTCTGTCCTGCGCTCAGCCCCACAAGAGCAGCTCGGGTAAGAAAAGTGATTCACTGCAATAACAAAAGCAGCTCCTGGCACCAGACAATTCTCGGTCCTTACCACAGGGCTGCCGTCCCAGCACAGGTCAGGACAACTCCTGACCAGAGGCAAAACCAAGGGCACTCAGCTATGAGGCTGAGCCCGGGAAACAAACCTGTGGGCAACAGAAGGCCAAGAAGCATAGCCATGGACAGCAATGTCCCATTACAGCGCTCAGCCCCACGCGAGCAAATCCACAGCACTCGCCCAAAATCCCTACAGAGCGCTGGCAGCGCCACGGTCTCCAGTCAGAAAAGGCACCAACACCAAACACCCAGGACTTTTCCCCTGAAACTGTGACCCCGAAAGCCCCCACATCGCCAGCCAGGGAGGAGGAGGGGCACCACCCCGCAGCCCTGAGTTTAGGCACGTCCCAATTTCTCATCGCCAGCCATGGGGCAGCCCCCCTCCAGCAGCGCCAGACCCCGTCCTCGGTGGGCTGCAGGGGGACAAGGTGGATGCAGGGCAGCCCAGCAGACATGCTGCGGCATAAAGGGGACCGGCTGGCGTTCACCACGCCGTGGTGCGGGGTTGGAACCTCCCGGCGATCCCCGGGAGCAAGCAGGGACTGCTTGGTGCACAGCGCTGGGACCCCAGTCCCAGAAAGTCGTGAGCCCTTAGGCTGATGCAAAAGGGACTTAGGGAAGGAAAAGGGCTGCGCACAAAGCGAGGGCCCAGCCCCTGGGCAGGGGTCGGGCCGGCCGGGCCGTCCAGGAGTTGGCGGGAGCAGGGACAAAGACAGGGACGTGCTGGGAGGGGGGGCAGCGCCCGCAGCTGGGAGATGCTGGAGGGACACAGCTCCGCAGGGGCACCTCACACTGGGGCGCACCTGGAGCCCTCACAAAGGTGCAGCAGGAGTACAACAGTTCCCCGCTCCCTCCCCCAAACCAAGCAAGGGGAGAGCTCCCCAGCATTGGAGACAGCACCCCGCACCCCCCAAAGCATCAGACATCCCAAATCCAGCACCCCTTGCATTGGGACGCCCCACGCCATCAAGGATCCCCAACCCAGCAAGGAGGGTGGGGGAACCCCGTGCATCAGGGCACCCCGTGCGTCAGGGAACCCCAAACTCCGTATTGGGGTGCTCCACGCATCAGGATGCCCAGGGACCGGGGACCCCAAACCAAGCTCCGAGGCTTGGTCCCCGTACCGTGCACGGGGACCCCAAACGCAGCCGCGGGCTGCCCCACGCCTCGCGGTGCCCCTTGCGCGGGGGGACCCCCGCTCACCTTTCCCCGGGGAGTGCGGGGACTCCTCGCCACCGTGCTCCTGGTCGTTGTCGCTCTCGGAGCTGGCGCGGCCCAGGGCGGGCAGGAGCAGGAGCGGGAGCAGGAGCGAGACCCGCAGCGCCGCGCGGCTCATCTCCGGCAAGTGCGCGGGTGCGGGACGGCGGCTCCGTGCCTGCCCGCCCGCCCGGCCGCACGTAAGTGAGAGCGGGCGGGGAGGAGGCGGTGGCTCTGACTCACGCCTCCGTTACCTTTTATAGGGGCTGGAGGCAAAGTCTGCAGCCGCACGGTCCGGCCAGGTGAGCCGTCCAGTGCGGGACTCGAACCCACGATTTCTCCCGGGGGTGCCCCTACCTCACCCCAGGCCGCCGCTGGGACACGCGGTGAACCCTGGGGCAGGGAAGTCCAGGAGCCCTCAGCCAGGGGTGTCCTCTCTCCTCAGTGGTGGGGTTGGCCCCACTCAGTGGTGGGTGTCCCTCTTCCCCAGCAGTGGGTGAAGGACGCCTCAGCCACGGGTGTCCCGTCTTCGCAGTGGTGACTGAAGGGTCTCTTAGGGATGGGTGTCCCCTCTGCTCAGTGATGGGGTTGGTATCACTCAGCCATGAGAGTCCAACCTCCTAGGCAGTGGGTGTCTCCTTAGCAACTGGGTTGGCACCCCTCAACCACAACTGTCCCCTCTTCTCAGTGGGACCTCTCAGCCATGGCTGTCCCTTCTCCTCAGTGGGTGGCTGAGGGACTCCTCAGCAGTGGATGTCCCCTCTTCTTACTGAAGTACAATTAAGAAAAGCATTTATTTCTATGGAGGCTAGAAGATGACACAGCTCTGCTCTGGGCAGAAGTCTTTCTGCTGCTCCTCAGAGGTGGTGGGAAGCACGTGGGTGCTATCAGTGTATATAGTGTACCCGGGTACCAAAAAGCTGGGAACAACGTCCTGCACCAAAAGTGACCGGGCACGTCTACGACAGATTGTGGTCTGGGTTGGTAGATGCAAAGGGATGCACATTTGATGCAATCAAGGATGCATGGCACGAGGGTGGACTTTAATCAGCTAATGGAACTCCTAGAAGAGACCAGAGAGTCATGGTGATGTCAGCTCACCGCTTGCCAAGAAAAAAGTGAAGTACGTGTCAGATTATCAAGAAAGAAACAAAAAACCAAAACAAACCAAAACAAAAACCACCCCGTCCTGCTGTTGTATAAATCTTGCATGAAACCTCTTCTCAGTTATTGCCCACAGTTCTGTTTCTCCCATCACAAAAGGGTCAGGAACAGAAACAGCAAGCTTGAGGGCCCCAGGCCTCTTTGAGGGCAAGGGTGGTTCCCACATAAGGAAGGAGCAAGGCAGTATAACTACCCAGCCTAGTGGAATGAGCTCCATGCTCCTAGTGGAGAGCAGGGAATGAGCACTTATTTCTCAGGATAGCTTGATTTATAGCTCAGTCAACCAAAATCATCAAGCAGGAAGTTTGAGTCCCACCAGAAAAATATCTTTCCACGTGGTGCAGAAAGGAATGGGGGGAAATCTTATTCCTCAACATGCACTTGTTGACAAAAAGGTGTCGGACAAGTTAATGGGATATTGTGCCTTGCACTGCCAAATTTCCAGCTCTGTGCCATGCCCCATGGGCTCCATGCCTCCGCTAAACCAGTTTTACCCAGCTGTTTCACAGTCCACTGGTCATCCCAGCACCTTCCTTTGTGAGTGCACCCAGCGTAGCCATGTGAATACATCCACATCCACTGCAAGAGGGCTCAACATCCCTCAAGCAGTATGGAAGATCTGTCTGGGGCTGGATTTTGTATTGAACAGAAGGAACCTCTCCCAAAAAGCTGGCAGCTGGGAACACAACAGTTGGCAGCCTGGCACCATGAGTTTCTCCCATGAGCCGTGCCAGAGATGGTACCTTGCTCCTGGTCCCTCTGGAGAACCCTGCCTTTGGTGGTGACCTGCAGGTAGTCTCAGTGCACTCCCAAACTCAGACTTTATCGTGCTCCTTCCAACAACAGATAAACTGAACCATCAGATAAGAAGATAAGAAGATATTCATTCATCAAGGCTCAAGGAAACAGGACTGTGGAGGGAAAACAAACCATAAACCACAATTCCAATGCTCCCTCCTGCTCGTGTTCCTATTGTTTATCTTATTAATGGTCTTTATCTTGAAGGGAAATGAAGAAGGCAGGTGTATATGGCAGAGGAATGACAGTCTCCATCTGGTCCTTTTTCCGAACAAGCCGCATGCAGCTCCCACCTCACACCTGCCTATCCATTCCGCTTGTTTCTCCAGAGAGGCTGCCCTGTGTTGACTCTGCACAAATGGAGTACTCGTGGAGCTGTCACCTTTGCTGCCCTGACTTTCTTAGGTTTCATTGTCCTCCCTCTCCACTGCTCTGCGAGGATGAGTGTATCATATCACAGCAGCTGTAATCACACGTGTCTTCTTTCCATCGATACAAAGTATAACTTCATCAGCTTTTTTGTAGAGATGATACCTGGCAGATGAGGACACTGTGTTATAGCTCAGCTAAATGAAATCTCCTTCACTTGGCTAAACGAAATCCTTTTCATTTGGCTAAAGTATAACGTACTGTTAGAATGAAAAGTGACTCCATGATCAGAGCATTTTGTCTGGATGTGCCTTCTGGGAATTCAGGGGACTGTGGACCACAGCTCCATCCCATGACCCTTGCAGGCCTGGTAGAAGAGCATGCAGAGTTTGTCCTCCTGTACAGGTTTCACACCACTGCTACATCCTCACTAAAGCTCTCCCCCCGGGATTCTCTGGTGGACTTATGTCAGAGGAGATCTGATCAGATGGACTCAGCCCAGCCATGTGCTCTTCTTTGCTGTGATGAATCTTGAAATGCACAGCACCAAACCTCTGCTCAGCTCAGCACAGATCCAGCCCGAGGCACAAAACACTGGCGCACCAGGGAACTTCTCCAATCCTGCGCAGCACAAGATGCACCGGGCTGAGATAGTGTGGGTGTACTTCTGGAAACACTGGCTGGTCTTGTTTTAGCTCCAGTGCTGTAGGGAGGGACGACCTCTGAATACTTGTAAAAGGGTTTATTCTCAGGAAAAAGTTGTCATTCCCAGGAAAATTAACTCATGCTAAGGAAAGGCTTGGATGTCTAGAAGAATCTTGGCACTCTGGGACTGATTCAAATTTCTACCAGTAATCCTTTCCCACGGGATATACTAATGAATTCCTGAGCTTATTGAGGGCTTATTGTCTGTTACTTTTAATGTAACAACAGTAGGCACTAGTTTATCAGTGCTGCTGTTGTGCCTATTCACAAGTTAGAGTTAAGTTCCCTGGATGACTTCCAAATAAAACCAGGCTGATCCGTGCCATTCAGTGTGGTGAATCCCAGATACCGGCACCTGCAGTTTGTATTTCACTACTGAGATTTGGTTAGAATTCCCTGAACAATAATATTCCCTTTGAGGTGATATTAGATTGCTTTGCAATTGCAGTAGTTTGCATAAAATGTCTCCTCACAGTTATTTTTATTTTCATCTCCACATCCAGACATTCATTGTGCTGGTACCATTGGCCACCCAATCCCTCCACCACCACGGTGCACAGCTTGTGTCCAACAAATAACCAACTTTCGGTGCCTGAGGGTAGGATGGCAAGGAGTATTTTGAGGCAAGAGTGTTAATTAGCTCGTTGCTGTCCCTTGATTTTCTAGGATAATAGTTCCTAATTTCAGAGTAACCCAGCACCTGTGCTATGAGGCTCTAGGCCCAGTCTGGCCAGATCCTGCTCTGCTGTGAAAGCAAACTGTAGGAAGAAGTAGCCAAAGGGGCCAGTAGGCCTGGGAGCTCCTGGACCAGGGCCACCCCTGAGGTGTGTCAGCTGCTTTGGAGCTATGAATTCTAGCAGCTCTAATTGGAGTGGGTTTAAAACACACATTTTTGTGTTTCTGTATGCAATTATGATGTATAATATTTACACATGCATTGTTGCCGATGGGTAAAAGCAATGTGAATGATGAGATACTCAATTTTGTTTGAACTTTGCTTCCAAATTTGAGTTTCAAAGTATCAAAACTTCTGTGAACTAGGAAGTCTGTCTTTAGGCAAGGTCTGCATAGGAGCCTGTGGATCCCTGAGTCAGCCCGTTCCAGGTAGCAAAGCAACCTCCCCATCAGCTGCTGGAACGCACCAGCTATAGCGTTGTCCCAGCAGGACAAAAATGTGGAAATTTGGAGCTGGCAAGCACTTCCAAGAGGACTAAGCTGCAGCAAGATCTCTCTTAAGCAATGAATACGTCAATCTTTTTAATTGCAGGAAACAGAACAAGAGTTTACCTATAGCTATGTGCAAATTAGGACTGACAGCACTTGCCTGGGCGCTGTCTGATCCCCCTTTGTTAAAAAGGAGCTACGTGGCCTCCCTCACGACCTGATCAAGTTACATGTGGAAAGCAGTGGTCTTCCTCCTGCCGTGTGCTTTCTTGGGCTTAGTGTAAAACCTTAAAGTTTTTTAATCTTCCTTGAATTTTCCCTTAAAATGTATTTTTTTGTTCCTATATGAAGTCTGTCCTTTTGGTAGCATTTATTCCCTGATATATTTATAGGGAGCAACTCTATCCCTTCTCAAACTGTGTTTTGAAAATTTAGACAGAAGTCTAAAAGAGTTTAGCTCATCAGAATATAAATGACCCTTCTATTCCGGTTCTCATTAACCCTCCACACCACTTCAAGTTTTAATTCATCTTTAGTGAATGTACACATCCTAAGCTATACATTTAACCCATACAGAAAATACTTCTCTTGCCGCATGTGAAATTGCTCACAGTAAGCACACAATCAGGTGGCTTGCCTGCCCTTCAATTTTTTGTTGGATTTTTTTGTGTGTTTTGTTTATTTATTTGTTTGTTTTGCTACAGTAGTTTATACCAGAAATTCCTGTTAGCAGCTCGCCAGCACTCAGGAATATGAGTTCCCATGATGCTAAAAGCAGTCTTCACACCCCTGCTGCAATTACCTTGATTTTTCAGCTGCTCAGCAGTGTTTCCCAGCTTCACGTCATTGGCACATTCTTCCCCCTTGTGAAGGCCCCTTAATGACAGTATTTATGACTGTGGGTCCTAAACCCCACTTCAGTGTGTTGCAGTAATACCTTCTTTACTGTGAAGGGTATCTTTTCTTAAGATGACTCATTATGTTCCC